GTGTATTTAAAAACTCGTAAAACACGAATTTCATAAAACACGGAACGTATCTATTGTGTTATAGGGGGTCTACTGTATATGGATTTTTTGTCATATTTGTAAAAAAAAAATTTAAGGTGATAATATAAGAGTAATGGATCATGGCCATTAAACAGGAAAATTTATATAATGAGAGCATTATATAATAATATAAATTGTCACCTAAAAGTTTACTCCCATTTACTTTAAATTATTTTAAATTTATGGACAGTTATCAAGTTTTAAATTTTTCCTGTCTGTTTTAACCGAAATTTTTAAAAAAATAAAAATTATTAATATAATTTTCTTATTTTAAACCAGTTTTAGGTATTAACAAGAAAGGATTATGTAATATAACAAACAAAAAATAAATTAGGGTATTCTAAACATAAAGCTTTATCGAATCTAATTATTGAATTTTGTTCATTAAAACCAAAATAAATAAATAACATCTAAAGGAATTTAATAAATCTGTTGTAAAACCTTTCAGTCACAAGAAAGTTATAATTGAATCCAATACCGATCATTCAATAAAGAACTGTTAAGACTTAACAGTTAAGTCATCAATAATACGAATTAAAAGTAAAAATCATGTGGTGACAACGTTTTCTTCAGAACAAATATCCCTATCCTATTTTACAAGAAAAAATGTATTTTAGACAATAGAATACATGTAATATCACTTGGACATACCTTTTACTTGTAATTCTTACAGATTCTGTAATATGATTATTTTTTCAATATGAATATTTACTGTCTTACATAATGGAGAAAAAGGTGGTATTATAGAACCCCATTTTCATTTTAGTAAATTTAAACAAGTTATCATAACTATACCCACAATTTTGTAATAATAACTATTAAACTAAATGTTCCTAATTGAATTTTTCTCTAGTGTAACTATAAGTATGGTTTTTGAAGGCATTTGTACAAAAAGTCAGAAAGTAGGCTTAAAGAAAAGCAGGTGGTAATACAGAACCTTACTCTATGTTTTCAAAAAATTCTTTAATGTATCCAAAAACAATTAGGAAAGTACAAAGAATGTTAAATAATTACAAAATTATTTACTCCAATGTATTTTATCGCAAATATACTTTTATAATACAAAAATATTTTCTCCATCAACAATATACATTCCAACAGCTCTTTTTCAATATTCTCAGGAAGAATTGGCTTACTAGCTAGTGTCTTTTTCACAAATTGCTCCAGACGAATGTCTGCTTGCGAATAGAGATTTCGGAGGAGTTAGATTCCCATAGCAGTTGGGTTCCATATTAAAAGCCCAATGGGGTCCATATTAAAAGCACCAATGGAATCGCCATCTTGAATTAACTTATGTCTGTCAAGACCAAATTTTAAAAAACGTGAACATCACACAGATTAACATGTACACCTAAGTCTCTGGAACAGAATACATGCACCAGTGAACCTACTACTACACGATTTATATTTCAAAAATAATTAAGTTCATTTAGCATTCAAAACTTTCTAATTTTGAAAAACACAAAGTTGCTGATCCACTACAGACAACCGTTTAACTGAAGTGAAATGGGTTTTCCCCTTGCTACGGATGTTGCGCCTAGTTCAGTTCAGCCACAATCCACTACAGTTCGCCTTTATTATCAGTTCGAAATAGAGTGGTTCCATAATACCCGCAGCGTTCCATAATACCACTCTTTCCTCTAATATCATTGTATGACAAAAATTTTATAAAATGTAATTGTATTAATTGTAATAAATAAATATTTTTTAGAAATTGTACTATAATATGTTTATCAAAACTGTTGTGTATTTTTTCTGTATATAAACAAATATATAATATATTCTAATATAATTTTTTATATTGGTTGATTGAAAAAATTATGAAGTTTATTAATTGATAAAAATACTATTTGACGTTTCAGCAAAAAATAAAATATACCCCGAAGTATATCGAATCACTACTACTGTTATTAAGACATACAGCCAGGAAATTAACTAGAAACCTCCATATTCCAAAATAAATATAAGTTACAAGTGTCCATTTAAGGTGAAGAAAAAGTAATTTTTTGGGTAAAATAACCTGAAAACTATTCAGGACTAAAAATACTGAAAAGTTTTGGTTATTAGTAATTAAATTCTGAACTAAGAAATTCTGTGAAAATAATATACAGGTAACCCTGTATAACACACCACTTCTATAGCACAGTTTCACTCTAACACGGTTCAAGAATTGGAACCATCCCCTTATAATACGGTACTATTATAGCACAGATTCACTCTGACACGGTTTGAGAATTGGGTAACACCCTCCTACAACATAAAATGTAATAAATTTTTACATACTAAAGAAATAATAGTTCACGAAAATAATAATTTTCGTGAACTATTAATACTTAAGTATGTAAATTTTATTTTCCTTCTGTATATACACATGGTCCTTCTCGAAACTTGTTTCAATGTTGCCAGATCTCGACGCTTCTGCTTCTGATGTTGCCAGATGTTCTTCCCTTATTCCATACTTGCTTTATTCTTCATAAGTGCTTAGCACCAAATAAGGACATTTATAAAGATCTTTTAACTAAAAGTAAGCAATCTAAAATTACATACTTTTTGCAAAAGCTAAAGCATGGATCTGAAGATAATGCAAAAAAATACTCAGAGAATAAGGATAACTTGCCAAAAAGAAAATGCTCTCGGTTAATATTGCTTTTAGTGATAACGAAGAAAACATTGTTTAATTTATATTATTATGTATCACTTAAGAAAATTTTAATAAAGATATTTATCTTACTTATGAAAATATAATAGCATGTTTTTTTTTTAATTTTTGGAACCTAACCCTCCTTTTCGTACTAGTTCTTTGTATCGTATAACACGGATTCGCATAACACAGCAATTTTTTGGAACGCAACTACCGTGTTATGCGGGGGTTACCTGTATTTTCCTAGGATTGGTTGAATTAGTTGAATGAGTAATACTCTGAATCGAACACAGTAATTTATTTTTTATTTAAGGTTTGGTAATAATGTTCCTCTTTTGCAAGATTTTATTTTTTGAGTAAATTGGAAACTGTAATTAGAAAATTAAAATAATCAAAATCTCTGGTTTGGATAACAAAAGAAATGAAATGATAAAATATTTTTGTACAGAAATATTACTAGATATATTGGATATGTATAATTTCTTTTGGTGTATTTGCTCACAAATCACTTTAAAGATAATTTATAAAAGGAGAAGTAAGTAGATGCCAACTACTAGGGCTGCAATTTGAAAGTTGTAGAAATTCCCACTGTCAATCATCTACTGTCTTTTGTCTGTCTGACTTCTTCCTTAATCTGAAGAACAGTGTAAGAAAAATGAAATTAACGACCACATGTGGAAACGTTAGCATGACAAGCAATTAATTATTGGCTGTATTATTAAGTAATTATTAACTGTAACTTCCGATATAGTCCAGTCTCATATGAATTCTATTTAAATATTTTGCCTTATATAGATTTATATACATGAACAGCATTGTTCTGTTCTGATCAAGACAAACATGATGTATAGGGGCAAGCTGCTACTAAATTGAGGTAGAGAGCATATAATTTAAATCAAATGAATTAAAAATATGATTAAAAATTTCAGCCCGACAGTATGGAATGTCACAACAAATAATTGCTCATTATAGACCAACTTCTTTAATTACGTATTTAAAAGGTTTTTTTCAATTAAATTGAAAATTCCTCTTTGGGTTTAACAAATGAGTTTAATCCTTCTGCAAAGAGCGTTTACAAAATAACCTTCCTGGCAACGTTTGAATTAAAACTGCATATAAGGTGCTATCATGAACAATATTATATTATTAAAAACTATTTGTATTTTTTATTATTATAAAATGGTCAAAAGCTTAATTTTTAAGATATAAACAGGTTTTATAAAAAAAATTTTAAATGCGAATAACGAAAGAAATCGTCATCAAGTCTAACTTTACTCGAGTATGACACACCTCGAGTAAAATTATCTCACCACCTCCATCAAACTTAACCATTAAAATTTTATACAATCAATAACGTCTTTATATACAAATCTACCAGCAAAATTTAACAAATTTTCAACAAAAAGCACAAAAGTTATTAAGCTTCACACAGGGTGAACAAAATCGTGCCCTCCCACACAGATACCTTTCATATATATAGAATAAACCCCCGAATTTTTTGCATTTCTGGACATTTTAAGGTTCTGAATACAGAAATATAAAAAACTTTGAGGGTAATTTTTAACCTTTCGCCACAATTTCCCTCTGTTATATAATATAACAGAAAAAGTAAAAACATTGATGATTACTCTAAATATATCGATGGTTAACATACATTTTTCAATGCTATTCGACTTTCCAATGTTTACTACCTAGTTGTATAAATTGGGGAAAATGGAACAGATTTTGGTCTCAGTATAAAAAGTAACTTAATAGCTATAACAAAACAGGCAACAGTATTCTTGTAAATGAAAACACCTCTATTATCACTAGGAAATAAATGATCAGTAATCTTGCTCTGCATTTAAGATTCTTTTAGCCGATTTTGGCCTATCACACAAACAATAAAACAGCTTATTGCTAAAATAAAAGAATCAATAGTGCCTAACATTTGAGGCTAAATTTAAACTAAATTTACAAGTGAATTTCTTGTCTTCACTCTCCACCCCAGCAAGTGCAATATACGCTTAATTTTTGACTTCTTCTTTACTGAATTAATACAGCGTATTGCTCTTGAAATTAGATCAAACAACGTTACCTCAACCAGTAAGAAAAATACTAATTACGAGAAACTAATTTTAAAAAATCGTCCTTAAACCGATTTACAAGAACACTGACAACTGCCGTTTGTGAAGATTGCAGTATATACACATAGCAACAGCATTGTAACACGTCGCAAACGTATTAAATATGTCTTACAGGTATACAGATATTTAAAAACAGCAATAACATCTTTCATAAAGTAATACTTAATCTTTATTTCGTGTCTTGTACACAAACTTATATGATGAAACATTTACAAAAAGTACAATTCAAAACAATCGTGTTAACATTCCCGAATTGTGTGATCTCTTCCCATTGTTTGAAGTTGCCGTTCGTTCTTCTCATTTTCATTTTCATTTGAATTGCTTTTGAAAAATAAATTCTTAAACATAAAATTAAAAGGAGCTTGAAGAAATACATAGAACAGAAAGGAAAAGATAATCGACAGGAACATCACGAATACATACAGCATCCACTGTAAGGAAGAAAACAGATAATTATTATTAATTATTGTCCCTATAAATGTAGTATTTAACATATACACTAAATTAAACTTAATTTTTCTTCTTTTTTACTATACTTAATATTTAGACTACATCAGATATAAATTATGTAGTTGTAACATATAATTAATACGTTCCTTTTTAAATTATTAAAATAAACTTTATTTAAAATTTTATTACATTTCATCTGTGAAGATTAAATGTAATAAAATGGTTGAAATTATCGCGGCAATCTGATTGATTCGTGTATAATAATCCATGGAAGCCTAAGGCTTCCATGGATCGACTTCGCTTGGCAGAATTAACTGCTAAATGCATGAAAGAAGTTTGGAAGTAGTTTGGGCCAGAGGTATCCAAGGATTTTCAACGAGAAGAGCATATCGCTGTATCGTTAGGTTGACCACCTTTGTCTACCTAATTGCTACCTAATCAATACAATAGAACTAGGAGATGTAGACGAGCAGGTTTCTGATGAGAGCCTTACCAACGACGAACTTCAAGAACTGGCAGAACAAAAAAATAGTAATTTCTGTAATATTAAAAGTCCTTTTAAAAAACACTTTAGGCTTGACATTTCATCTGTGACATATCACAGATGATATGTCAAGCCTAGAGTGGTTTCAAACCTAAAATTTTACAAATTATAGCATTTACAATTCTTTTAAAAAATGCATCTTTATCCTCAAAATTAAACTTTCTACCTTTTTATAATGTTTAATCATATATAATTTATATTTTTCATAAAATCTCACAACATATGACATAACACACAATTCTATTTTAAACATTTACTAGCCAATATTTAAATAAACTAAAAAAAAAGAAAAACTGAATAAAAATTTGTATCCAGTAGATTTAGATTTTTCAAAGAGAATTGTTTAACCAAGGAGACGAAAGTATGCAGCATAATAACTTTTTACCTAATGGAGTGTGTGAAGAAAGTGTTGAAGACTTCAATTGTAAAACCAGAAAAATTATCCAACTCTTTGCTGGAATTTTTATACTCTAAATTATATAATGTGTACATTCATTATTATATAATTCACAGAAGTTTCATTATGGAAGGAATATTTAATGCATAAGTTAATATATTTAAGTACTTTATAAAGGCAGAACTTGACTTTTAAAATTAAGCATAATAATGTAATTGCGAGGGCCAATTTACTTTGAAGTGAAATAAACGTATCATTAAGAAGTAAATATATTCACTAAATTTTTGTAATAGAATCTTTGAAAGCATTTTTAAATTTCCATTTAATCATGCCTCGTATATTGCTGTTGGCATTATGTGGAGGTAGAGAGAAAGAGAGTTGTCAAGAATCGTATCTCAAGTGAAAACTTTTAATTTTTAATTAAATTTTTAATAGATCATAACACACATAATTTGACCTTTGTAAACTATGAGTTTCGAAAATTTTGTGCAAGAAGACTCTTGCCAGAATTTTTCTTTACATTTACTGAATTTATAATACCCGTTTATAGAGTTATGTGCATAGATCGAAACATTGAAAGTAATAAACAAAATATAAAAACTTAAAAACATAAAAAACTTTAAAACAACATAATTGCAGTAAAATATAATTTTTCCTTAATTAAATAATGGTGTTGAGTCAATTTAGTATGATTATTTTATAAATTACTTTCTTACCATTGTGACCATAGAATGATGCAAAGGTTTTCTAAAGCAGACGATAAGATATATCAAGATAAAAGGATGTAACGTGTAAATAAAAGTATTCAGACGATCCAAAATCACAAAGATGTCCATAGAGAGAAAATTTCTTATCCCACCTGTAACATAAAGTAAATTATTAAATCATAACTTTTTAAGCTTTTCCGGTATTTTTATGGTTTTCATTTTCCAAATCTTCAAGTTACCGCAATGAATTGCTTTTTTAAAAATAACATGTCATTCGTTTATCTATGAAAATATTTTATTTTCGACCATTTTCTTTTTTGGTTAGAAAGATCATTATTTCGTCTATCAGGATCCATGTTTTCAATCTTTATTCAACTTTCCTATGTAAAGAAATTTGGCCTCAATTCCTACTTCAGCAATAATAAAACTTATGCTTCCATCTGCTAAAACTTTTGTTAAAGGATACGAAAATTGAAACCTTTTCGTAGATAAACGAATGGTATAAGTTGTTTCTACTTAAAAGTGCTGTTGAATAAGGTGAAACGTAAAGATGCTCAAAATTTTACGAGTAGTTCAGGACAAAATTTTCACCTTACATCAGTGGTCTCTGTTAGAGCTTTCGAAATCTCGTATTTAATATCGCTTATCAGATCTCTGGTACAATTTCCTCTGTCATCATGGAGTTTTATTTGTCGCTTTACTTTGGCAAGGCATTTGTAAAATATACACAGTCAGGAATGTATAGATTAAGGAGTAGTTTTAAAGAAGTTTAATTGCATTAATGGTAAGTTATGATGTAACTTTTTAGGAAAATATTACATTTTCATTGAAATGTTGACTATACGTTTCAAATATTAGTATAAAGTGTTTAGTAAGTATTATAGAGTAGGCCTATTTAACAATTATAGCTATCCGTATTCAGCGTGAATTTATATGTAGTCTACTAATTAAATAAAATTGAAGACAGTCTGCCCAAAAGGGACCACCATTTATTATTTCTGTGTTCCAGACAATACACATTCCAGACATACACATTCAATACAGTCGACCCCCTATAACACTGTTGATAATTCCGTTTTATATGAATTCCATGTTGTACAAGTCACTTAGATTTTACAAATACGTGTGCCAGGCTGTGAACGGCTCACGTATTTGTAAAATCTAAGTGACTCGTACAACATGAAATTTATATAAAATGGAATAATCAATAGTGTTATGGGGAGCCGAATGTACACGAGTAGCCTACAAGGAAAGGTCTGTTGCCAAGAATGTGTATTGTCTGGAACACAGAAATAATAAATGGTGTCCCTTTTGGGCAGATTGTCTTCAATTTTATTTAAAAATAATCTCTATCGGACGAAAATTTAGTCTACTAATGTTAAAGTTCGATTATTTTAAAATATGCATAAGCCTATAATTAAAATGAGTATTTTTCAGCCGATGTTCTACAAAATTGATCATTATCTTGCTAATTGTATTTTGCAGTATATTGTATTTTCAGTTTATAAATATTAATCTAACAAAAAGATATATGTATATGTATATATCACTTATATACTCAACAAAAAAAATTGTTTATTTTTTAATATTTGAAGACAAGTTCGCCCAAATAGGAATCACCATTTTTTTCCTTTTGCGTTCTAGACAGTACATTTCCAGCGACCGACCTTCCTTTCTAGGCTACTATCCGCCAAAAAGTTTTTAAAAAGTCCTTTTATAAAACATAAAAAGATTTCCAATTAAAAACACAAAGATTTTCTAAAATCAGAACTGGTGTTATACTAACGTCTTTCTAGGTTAGTAGCCTAGAAAGGAAGGTCGGTCGCCGGAAATGTACTGTCTAGAACGCAAAAGGAAAAAAATGGTGATCCCTATTTGGGCGAACTTGCCTTCAAATATTAAAAAATAGAAAGAACCATCGGACAAAAAAATTACAAAATTGTATATATTCAAAATAAACATAAACTCTATATTTTATGTAATTCTCTTTGAAGAAATATAAGTATATGCAGACATCGTCATTATTACTACTTAAGTAATTTCAATGGGTAACTGAAAAATCCCTTGTTGTGTAGCTTTCTAATTCACAGTATTTAAGTATTTATAATTTTAATGTACAAGATCTTTATAATAAAGTTCCACTTTGAAATGGCCATAAAAGGAAAACTACTGGACAAAATGTTATGAAACTTGGTATTCTATGTCATGGGATTCTATTTTCCGCTAAAAAAAAAAAAAAACTAGTTCAAAAACTTACCACCAAAATCGTTTCTAAAACGTTTTTAATCTGTTTTTAATCGTTTCTAAAACGTGTTGTAAAGCATGTTGAATGCGGCGTCTAGCATTTTCTGAAAGCAAATTAAATCGCATTATCATGTTCTTAACAGTCGCTCTTCGCATAGCACGAGGAATATTGTTAAACGGAATAAGACATGAAGATATCGGTTGTAAATGAAAATGAACAATTTTCATTTCCAACCGATATCTTCATGTCTTATTTCGTTTAACAATATGCATACAGCGCCATTCCCCGCTGGTGGAGAGTTTTGGAATTATTGTTGAAGGAAAATAAAATCCCATAATTTCCTGTAAACTATTACCTGTTTGATAATATTTTGTCCAGTAGTTTTTCTTTTATGGCCATTTCAACGTGAAGCTTTAATTGTGAAAACCCTGCATATCGTTTATATTACACAAATAAATTATTATTATTGTATTATTAGTACAAAAGATATATGTAACTCTAACAGAACAGGCTTTTTTGATGTGGCAAGAAGAGTTCTGCAAATCTCCATAACTCTATAAAAGCCTCATTTTTGTCTTTGCAACGTAAATAACAATTTGATGATATTATGTATGCCGACTTTAAAAGATGGAAAGAAGATGAAGAGAGAAAGATAAAATTAAGTTATGAAAACACGGAAAACAGGCTACAAGAAAAACTGGTGAAATGTATGGTGAAGTGATGAAGTGGCAAGACAAAGACAAGCCCGTATGCCAAGACAAGCCCGTATGCCAAGACAAACGGGCTTAAAAACTTTAAAATTTCAAGGTTCAGCCAAAATTGATACCAGCAGCTCTTCCATGATGAAAGTAACACTTCTAGATGGAAAAGTTTCTGATAATTATATTTCAAAACACGATTTTCATGTTCTGAAATATAATTAACAGAAACTTTTTCATCCAGACTTGAATACAACATGAACATATGAGATGATTTATGCCTGATAAAATTTCAATTACAGGCAACTACTTTGTATTACTAACTTCATTTTATATAGTAATGTACAGCAGTAATAAATATATTATTTATTATTTTAGGTCGGCTGAATAAAGTCGTGAGTGAAGATAGAATTCTAGATGATGTTAGAAACTGTATAAATGCAGAAAGTGGTTGAGAAATGTTATTAGATAAAAAAAAATTCAAATTATAACAAGAAACTTTAAGATAAAAAATTAATGAAATTATAAAAAGTCACAGAGTTTAAATATAAACGATAATATGATAAATGTAATATCAGAGTATGGATAACATGGATATTAATTTTAGGTATTAGATGGGTTGAAATTTTCAGTAGACGACAATACTGCAATTCTTAAGAACCTAAACAATACATTAGAATATGTGTAATACAAAATATATGTGGTAGTAGGTCATCCTAATCAAATTTCTGAAGTCAATATTAAAAAGCAAATCACAAAATAGACAAAAGTCCACAAAAGTCAAAATACAGTGGGTGATCGGTTAACGAACAAATCGGATAACGAACACTTTCGCGAAAGATTTTTACGATCGGACAACGAACACATGTTCGGATAACGAACACTTAACTGAACAAACACAAAAAGAAGAGACGTAAAATAACGAATACCGATTGGTCTTCCTTTGTCTTCAGGCAACAATTCAAAACTTTTCGGAGCGCGGGAGACGTAGACATCGACGTTCTACCCAGTATATACTGATAAGATAGTATTCTCCCGAACTTTGAAACTCTCCCTTGTAATTCCAGCTTTTTATATTTCTGACAGAAACAATTCTTTTACATTTTCTTATGAAAATGCGGATTTATGCCGATATCTGCTATTAAAGATCTTTTAAAGAAGTGGGAGGACGTTGTTCTGACAGAACAACGGTCTTAAAATGGCATCCAAACCAGGTTGAGGTTAATAGGCCTAGGGTTCTCTACAATTACAATGCTATTAATTACTTCTGAAAAATCATAAAGAAGACAGAAAAGCAATCGACATTGGACAGATTCTTTAATTAATTAATTAACCCCCACAAACGGAAAAAACATGACTAATAAAAATGCAAGACCGTGTATATATGTATTATTACTATTATATATAAATAAACGTAATAAGAAAGTAAAGTCTATATTTTTTTATTTTTTGGAGGTCTCCAGAACGAATTAATCAAATTCCCATAGAAACCTATGGTAAATCGATAATCGGTTAACGAACAATTCGGATAACGAACAAAGTCTTGGAACGGATTATGTTCGTTAACCGATCACCCACTGTATCTATGGCACTTGAAAAAGCAAATGCTCTAAAGTCAGCAAATATTAAGTAAGCATAGTTTTGTAGACTTTGATCATTCTTACAATAAACAGAATCTAAAGCAGTAGTGGTCTGATTATTTTTATATAAATTTCAGTTAACTGCAACTCTGTGTATTTATAAATCTAAGTGTCCACATTATGAAAGTATAGTGAACATTTAATGATATTTATTACTGGGATTTCATTGAAATTCTTCTACTGTAACATTTATTTTATAAACGATTTCAATTAGCATCATTAACTTTAAACTGAAATTAACAGGAAAATAACTAATTGCGCCAATACAAAAATTAGTCAAAAACGTTTTTCTCGAAATTTTCAATTCCTGCTAGTATGATAGGAGAAAGAAAGTTAAAAAAAATTCTATTGACTAAAACGTTCAATAGATAGAGTGAGAGTAAGGTGCTAATGTGTTCTCCTAAAAATCGTCCACTGGTAAAATTTCGATTTGCTATCACTTTGAAAGATGGACAAATATAAGCAAACGGAAAGAAAACTGATGACAAAACTTACCTTGAAAAAACAATACAAATGAGGTAGCGAAGCTCAGAGACCTACATTTGTGAGGTTACATAACCATTTTTAAATGAGGCCCAAATTAAAACTTGCAAACATGCAATCACCCCTGCACAATCGCCAGGGAGACAGAGGGTCTTACTACACTTCTGTCTCTTGTATCAACAACATTTTCACAATACTTTTGAAGATTTAAAAAGCAGTTAAAGCTCAAATTTATCTTCTTTCAATTTCAGAAATGGCAATACATTCATATAAGATATTTTATGAAGTATAAAAAAGGAACCATTAATTTAATGGATAAAACAACTATAAATCTGTAGCTGATTGTGAGTTTCCTCAAGAATAACGGACAAGCTATGTAAAGGTTTCGTGTTATATTCAGGGAAATATTAGTCAGATTCCCAAAGAAAGTTCTCTCAAAAAGCAATATTGACATATTTCCCATATGTTATATAACAATTTTCTATCAAACCTTCTTGCGATCTTTAAAATACATACGTATCAATAAAAGACCTTTATCTGCTGGTTTACAAGAGAAACAATTTTTCCATTGACACATAAGGCACTAAAACAATCAACATTAATAAGCAAGTAAACCAGGCCAGCAAGTAAACAGTAAAAAGCGATATAAATTATAGCCTACAAAAGAGCACATTATGAAATGTAAAGTTTTGATACACTTTTTACATGTAGATATTTTAAATATAATTAAAGTTTAGGAATGGTTTATAGTTTGCTCCAAATTAATGGGGACCAGTCCGTTAATAATGAGGCAACCAGTGACCTTTATCAAAATTTACGGGTTTTCATCTACTCGGTCATTGATTGGCGATTAAGTTAGAAAACAAAAAATGTTTAAGAATTATTTGACTTATATACGTCGGATATTGGATCCCCAATTCCCCATCAGAGAGAATCCGCGATAGACTACAAGAAAGGTTTGTGAAGTCTTGTAGAGTGAAGTTATAAAAAAAAATTCAATGCAAACAATATAATGTTTTCCACAACATTAAAATGTTTGTGATTATTTAGTTGCATTTCAATTATAGTCGTGTTATTTATATTGAGCTTTCCTGTTATTATGTATAGAACTATTGAATTTGAAATATTACTTACCTCCGTATCCTTTAGTGAAAGCAATGCACATCCATATTTGCCCAATTATCCAGGCATACGGAGCTAAAATTGTGAAGAATACAATTATATTTCTATCCGGTGATAAGTCAGTCATATATCCGTGTAATCCGTATACTGAGAGTAACATCAATACAATTGAACACACCCAGAATGTAAAACGAGTTACCTAACACAAAAAGTGAAATATATATTTGAGTGATTATACATTAACTTATGTTTAAGTTTATTTTTATTTCATAATAAAATACAGGGTTATCATAATTAAGGAGTAGGTGTTGAGTCATCTCTGCAGGATTGAATAAATTTCGTTTTCATATCGTTTCTAATATACGATTTCTATTTTCGTAAACATATTTTAGTAAAATTCTGTCACTGAAGCGAAATGTAGCATTATTGTATCCTTAATTAACGACAATATTACGTTCGTCTTCTAACGAATTTCGCACGCTAGAAAGCAAAGTAATTAGAGATATGGCTCTATGCATCTTTTATTTTCACGCTACAGCGTGAAAATAAAAGATGCATAGAGCCATATCTCTTGCATTCGCTTGCATTCGCTGTACAGCACACATAACTACGGAACACAATTAATCTAGGTCCACTTATAGCACATGTAAAATTTTCTTATAGTTAGAAGGGAACAACGCTTTGATAAACGAAATTTTCAACTGAAATTTGTAGTAATTTAAATCTGGAGATGTGAAGACAGTGACACTGGAAATAATCGGCTAATTCCTCCCTCATTCGAAAAACGGTCTGGCAACAAGTCTTGTGATTTGTGGACAAGGATGCACTATCTTTCTTAAAGACTAAAGTGCTCAACAACGTCTCCATGGCACTGTTACAATGACAAAGTGTTATTGGATTTTTTCCAGATACCGGACATTATATTTTGTAAAAACAAAAGTTTGGCAGCACTTTCATGTTTCGTGATGATTCCTGAAGCCACGTGAAAATGTCATATGTTGTTATACTCGTGCGTTTTCATTTATGTTTTGTGTAGTTGAAAATTTGATATTTTAGAACGATTACTGTTATAAAGATAGACTAATTGCTATAACAAGTGTCACATGAAGTTTTTACGTATGTTTACAAATGGGAATAATGTGAGAGGCGAATCACACCTGTGACTAATTTATAATTCAATTAAAAAGTTAAATTTTTGACGAGAAATATTTTATGATTTTGGTGAGAAAATTATATTTTCTAAAACGAAAGAAATGGGTAAAAGTCACTTCCTTCAACGGAAGATTGACATCCATTTTTTTCCCTTATCTACTAAAAATCTTAGTTACCCTTGGAATTGTCAACCCCTCAGTAATTCCCCTTTTCCCTGTTCACATGGAAAAATACGAAATGCTGATTGGAGAAAATTCATATATAGAAAGGGACAGAATTTTTCATGATTCGAGGAGTACGCCGAAAGATCCAGAAGAGGACAGACGTATTCCATATCATCTCCTAAAGGCCAACGCCCAAAGTCGAATCCAGAATGAATCTACAAAATGAGTTTAAGTCAGTAAATAAAGAAGAAATTATTTAAATATGCGCCGTTCAAGAATTAATCATAAAAAACTGAGGTATAAATTGAAAAAACAGAAAAAGATAAAGATAATTCGAGGTAGTATGGTTTATGATAAAAATTGTGAGCTCTCTCTCTCGAAACAGCTTTATTCGAAGCTCTCTCAGAAATCGCTTATTTCAAATATTCCATTTATATAATTTTGTTTATTTTTGTTCATTAAATTTTTGTTTATATTTGTTAAAAAAATGTCTCTTCGATATCTGAATCAAACGAAAAGTTCAACTCCGTATCCTCTCCACACGCGTGTTAATCCGCGTATTTAAAAAAATAACTGGTGTCATTGTCCTGACGTTGGATAGAGACTTTGCCGTCTATATGCTATCTTATATTAAAAGTCCTCGTAGAAAAAGTTGAGAGATCGAATCTTGCGATTTTGTGCCGATTAAGTGGTACACCTTCTACAGATTGTACCCCCAGCTTATTTCACAGTAATAATGTGTTTTATGCTATTTATTCACCCTATAAACAAATTTACATCAGGCAGCATCTTTGTTTCCGAAGGTGGAAAGAATCAAACAACGATTTAGGGCAACCGAGGATACTTTGTTGGGCAATCATGGACAGCTTTATACTGTCTGAAATTTCCCAGTGTTCACTATATGTGTTATTTACTCGTTATTTTTTAATACTTTACAGTTTCCAATTGCAATTTTCTAAATTTGCTCCTGACCATTGCATCCTAAACTTAGTGATTTAATATTTGATACATTCATTTCCTTTATTGTAAACTAGCAGGTGGGCCCGGCGTTGCTCGGGAAAAAGTAACGATAACTAAGATTAAGATTATTATGTTACAGTCAACCTTACCCGTTTTCACAGAATGCAAGAATTGGGTCCTCTTGTTTCCAGACTAATTAGAAAATTTTTAAATGGGTCTAAAAATATGTTCGATTTCCCGCAAAAACGAAAAAAACTGCATCTGCGTATCGCACGTCGCTTTCTGTTAACAACTCCATTGTTACTTAAAACTTTTATTGTTACTTAACACTTCCATTGTTACTTAGCACTTCCATTGTTGATGGAAGTGTTAAGCCTTAATCCTGTCCCTCTCCCCCGTGGGGAGGAATTTCGAAAAATCCCTTCTTAGTGTGCGTTCTTCTAACGTACCCTAACTGTGTACCAAATTTCAACTTTCAACTCCTAACCGTCTGGGCTCTGCGCTTATTATTATTATTATTATTATTATTATTATCAACCCGTCTCGATTATATATTATATTGACTATTATATCTCAATTTCTAACATATATAACTGAAATATACATTATACTTGATGTGTTTATTTCTTTCCTCTACATTTGGCCACTTTGTAGCCGTACAACTTTGTCTCAGCTTGCATTTACGCCATGAAACAGAATAAAATCAGACACTGTAAAATTATTTAGCTTTTTTAACTTCGTATACTTTATAGTAACAAACATACTGGATTATGGATTAATATAAAAGGTCTGTTTTATCTAAAGTCTTGCACCGAAAACATCTGTGTCAACGATCCCTCCAGTCTTCCTCATGTAGGCTACTTCGTATAACTTTGGTTCAGATAAGTCCATAGATTTTTCTACAGAGAGAGATGAGCACCTATGCTTCAAGTATGATCGCCTTGTATTTTATATAATTTGAATAAAGCCGCGCATTTGTTAGTGTTTAATTAAACTCTTATAAAACATTGAAAGTATATTTTGTAACAAAAAAGTATAGTTTTGGTACAAAATATATTACAAACGTCAGATAACTGAAATATTTTTAGTCGAAATCTTAAATAATAATATGCTATTATTCTAAATCAGTTGTTTCTTTGTTTAAAATATACTTAAAATTGACATACTTTTGGCCATGCGACATTTTTGTACCAAGATTCACAAAATCAAATGCAACAAAACCCCCCCAGATGATTAATCAGTCAAGCAACAACGTTCTTTAGATGACCAGATACAGTCGACCCCTCTATAACACGGGTTCCTATAGTTCGGATTCCTATATCACGGCGAAAAAATTGCGAAAGTATTCGTAAAAGCATGCTAAAAAACTCCTATAATTCGGTAAAACGTCATCGCCGACTCGTGTCGCGACAGGATTGCACAAACCGTTGAGTTTAAACGAGCACTGGACCTACCAAAAACCATTTCTTATTTAACGTCCATAAAAATTGTATTTATATTAATGATGTCTCCAATGTTCAGCAAATTTTTCGCAAAAAAAATAATTTATCAAGAAGCACGCGAGCGCCATTCGATGACAATCTCCACGACGAAAACAAGCTTAAGCAACGGCGTAGTCGAACGGTGCACACTCGGTAAGTAATCCTACAATTTTTTGTTTATAGCATAGTTTATATGGATTATTCCCAAAAAATTATACGTATTTTGGAAATGTTTAGTCGAATTAGTCTAGAATCGATTAATTTTATGGAAGAAGACCTTCAAATAGTCGTAGTCCGTAAACTGCATTCGAGCCGGGCTGTGATTGGCTGGACTGCTAGAAGCTGCATTCATAAAACTCAGAACGTATCTATCGTGTTATAGGGGGTCGACCGTATTTGGGAACAGAGTGTTTATTCCTTAGACCTCATTGCTTTTATTCCAGCTTAAGCCGAATTTAAAGCATATACTAGAATACAGAGTGCTCAAAATTCAATTTACTGAGATACATGTTCACATTATTTCAATAATCCGTTAAAACCAGTTACGAATAGTGCCCGTTATTTGTTTTTAAAACATCTTAAAGTATATTTCAGTTAAGTGTCTTCTTTACGAATTGCTTCCGAATTCAAGAAATAAAATATCTTCTAATATAAATATATCTTCATTATATGTAAATCAGCATAATAAGTAAAGTTCTCATGTTTCCACGAACCATTTTTAAATATATAAAATAACTATTATTACTATAATCTAGTTAATGGCAGATGAAAATACACTTACCTTTCCGAAATTCATAACTTTTCTTTCAGATAAAATAAATCCAGTCAGCAACCCCATAAAATAACTACTTAGGTGATAGGAGTATGGTTTAATATAGAGGTTATTAAACAAGTTTGTAAATGCCCTGAAATTAAAATATCATAAATGTTAGAAATTAACATAAGTCGGTTAACTGACTTTGCTGCCAACCTATATTACAAGCAACGAGCTATACTACATACAGTGGCTCAAGAGACGTCATGTTTTACCAGAATTTCGTGCACCTCCGACATTTTCCTTTTAGTCAAGTAGGCATGGCATTTGTGTTTTGTACAGGCAATCAGCTGGAATATTCTAACTCGTTTATAGTACCCATGGTTGCTACCAACAGCACTGTAACCATTTTTCACACTCACTCTATGTCGTAGTATATTCTAGTTCATTCATTAGAAGTACAGAATATATTTTATACTTTTAGAATATAAAATTTTATCACGAAGACTGTATTAGTGTTTTTCTGTGACATAATAATAATAAGTTTATCATCTGTACTTACTACACCATCACAAGACTCGAAACAAACATGACAGCATACAGACTCTATGGTGTAGTTGTTCTACACCATAGATTCACACAACAATATCCTCACCTCACTGTCACCGAACAAAGGGTTGTCAAGAAAAAAACAATTATACACAACAATATTATCCCACAAACAACACTTGAACTTATCAAAAAACACGTTGTTGATCAAATACATCAACAGACAGAAACATTTAACATTATTCATGAAGATCACGTAATCTGTCAGGATAATCCAGCAACAAGCATTGATAATAGCATACATGCAACAACTACAACTAATGATACTACAGGCACTTCCTCATCCATCACTGGTAACATAGACATAAAATTAGTTAATACACTCTCACTTATATTAAAGGAAACACTCACTAAATATACACGCACAGATCCCACAGAAAGATCACGAATACAGAAAATTAACACGTCAAATAAAGTAGAAAAAACATTAAATTATATAAACACTCACTTACTATCAAACTACATTCATTCAATTTCTACACTCTCAGATATTCATACATTAGTTTATGCTGGGGCAGTCACAGTAGTAACACACCATGGTCTGAAAATACAATCACAGACAGACACACACAAAACACAATTCTATCACAAGCCTGCTTGGCAGAGAAAAATAGAAAAACAAATACATGATATTAGACAGCAATTAGGCAGGCTAACACAATACACTGAAAACAACATAACACCAAAATTAAAGAAACAACTCCAAAACATTTCCAATAAAATCAAAACACGCGCAAAACATGAACATCACAACACACACATTACAGAATACATCGATACACTAAAACAAAAACTCGCAGCCAAAGCACGTAGACTCAAACTATACAAAACATGTACACTATGAAAACAACAAAATAAATTATTTACAAACAATGAAAAGCTCTTTTACAGACAAATCAGTACCAAAACAAACACTGATACACAGCACAGTGGCACACCAACAGAAGAAGAACTCACAACTTATTGGTCTTCTCTTTGGTCCAATGCTGTTACACACAATGCTGATACAGGCTGGATCGAGGAGGAGAACAGAAACTTGCACAACATACCAACTATGCCCTGTGCTGAAAGAAACGTTCACGACATCCGCTACGCTGTTAACAGAACACACAATTGGAAGACACCTGGTGTAGACAACATTTACAATTTCTGGTACAAAAAGTTTACATCACCATGTAAAGGAGTCAATGTCCGACCGTTATTTTTTGTTTCGGGGCGTTATTTTTATTTAATTATTTTCTGTTCGGGGTACTTTTTTAGTTAAGGACAAACTCCTAAGCACCAGTGACCATGAAAAAAATAGCAACCTTGGTTTGCATCAGGGCCTGATCCTATAACGACAACTTATGTAACTTAAGACAGTGCGGAGCTGCACTCGAGGTAGAATAAAAGCCGGCACATCCACGACAGAGGTAGGTAGCTTCAAATGACCACTGTGGTAGAGACGTCGGTGATAAATTTGAGGAAATCGTATCTTTTTGCTGAAAAATCTTTTGAGGTGGAGATAAAAGTTTAGTTGATTTGGATATTATAAGTATAATTGTTTTGATCATTGATTTTTGTTGTTACTTTCAATTATTCAATTATTTAACTTGCTGTTTGGACAGATATTGACAAAAAACAACGCATTACTGTTGTTTTTGGTCAATATAATAAAACTTATATTTATTGTAAATTAGTATCTGTGGTGGCAATTGATTTTTTATTTGGAAAGTCCAGGCCTGGTACTTGAACCCTACTATTATGTAACCACTTTGTTTTCGTAAACGGTGCGTTACAACTGCACCAGAAACTAGTTAAACATCTAACACACATCATCATCAACCCACGAAACATGCCAAATTTTCTTACTCAGGGCATCACCTACATGAAACCTAAAAACACTACCACCATAGACCCCACACAATACAAACCAATTACTTGTCTTTCAACACTCTACAAATTATTGACAGCATGTGTCGCAAACCAAATATACAGACATGTTAAAGAACACGACATTCTTACAGAACAACAAAAAGCTTGCAGTAGAAATCACAGGGGATGCAAAGAACACTTACTCATAGATCCAGTCATTCTATGGCAAGCACACAAACAACACAGAAACATACACATGGCATATATAGACTACAGAAAAGCATTTGACAATGTTCCACACAGTCAGCTGCTACATATTGTACATGTGTACAAAATACATCCATTACTCATTGCATTTTCCAAAACACTATGCAGCACTGAAGAACAACACTACATCTCAAGGTTAGTAACACTTCCATACAAACAAACCTAATATTCATTAGGCGAGGAATTTTTGAACGAGATTTTTTGAGTCCTCTCTGGTACTGCCTAGCCCTGAACCCATTATCCAACATGTTATACAACACGCAATATGGCTACAATATCAGACATGAAATAACAACACAGTTTACACTGTCACATCTTATGTACATAGACGACACAAAACTTTAGGCATCCACACAAAAACAACTTCAGCAGCTCCTTCAAATTGTGGGGGCCGAGGGGGGGAGAAATTTAAAAAAGTTTACGAACGATAATAGTTGATATGTATCGTCATCGTCTCCCTTGCCGTTTGGATTGCCGAGCGGTAACAATCAACGACATGTGGAAGCAGTTGAGTCAGAGATAGATGCTTCGTTTACCAACAACACAACCGTTTATTAAACACGAAAGAAGCTTACAAGATTTCCGCGATCTTGGAAGTTCTGTGGCAGTTGCAGCCTCTGGGTCTTCCTCTCCTTTCCAAGATAGTCCCATTTTGAAGTAGTGTCCCTTGTTCGCGAATGAACCATTCCATCACGTCTCGATGACTCCGGGACGATGCGGTCGACTTCCGTTGATGGAAAGATGTCGATCCGAGGTC